CTTCTGAAAAGCCTGGTCGCCAGTCTCCATCGCCTGCCCTCATGTAGCCTCTGTGAGCAGAAATCTGTCCAGCTAATTGTGTGCCGCTGCCAGGCGGTGCATGAGGAGACAACACGCCAGGTGGAACTCCCTAAAATTATTTCAAATGACAAACCAAATAAAAACCAAAAAGGGAGGAATAAATTTAAAAAACTTAATAACGAAGATGAATAAGGAGAAAATCGGATAATTAATGTGCAAAAAAAAGTATTAATTTAAATAAGAAGAGTAACAACAATATACAAACTTCTCCCCTTCTTACTCTTCTATTCTTTTCCCCTTCTGGTTCACCTTTGAGTTATGAGCTTTGAGTTGGATTATCTTCGCTGCACTCTGCACACATCCATAGGTGCTCAGATTCTCCCTTCAATATATTCAAGAGCATACTGCAGATAATAGTACCAGTCCAATGCTGGTTAACAACACTTCCTGTATGTCGGATGTGCCTCTCAAGCCTGGATGTGCTGACCTTTACTCCAATTATCGTACTCCTAGCAGTGCTATGGACACAATGCTGGCAAAATCCTCAGATCGTCCAATTACCCTACTGCCCTCTAAAATGGCGGTTGGTAAATTGTCTTGTGGTATTCAGCTAAGCTGCAATACCTGTGCATTTCTGGGCCGACATCATTTATGCAAACCCTTGAGACCCATCTAGAACATGTTTGTTAAGGGGTGGTGAGTATCCCTCTCCCGTTTTCCCCCCAAATTGGGCCTCAGAATCCATGTAAGGATTTTATAATGTTCTGCAAAAGTTGTCACCATCATGTGCCCAGCTGTGAGAGTAGCTAATCATGTCTCACAACATCAATCTGTATTTTGTTTTCTAAATAAATTTAACTCCTGATTGTCCTTTGTGCATAACAAAATGGAAACATGAACCCACCACCAGGCATTCACAAAGAGATATCTTTACTTCTTCTGAGTATGCACTTAAAAGGGCAATTAGTATGTTGTGTTGTGGTTTACAGCAAGACTGTGATAGCTGCACTTTTTAACCCAACACATCTGATTTCAGCAAACCCTTCATTAGTCACCTTCTACAAAATGCTTGTTAAGGAGGTGGTGGGTCTATTGATCTTCTGCTTAAAGTCCTTTCCGTGTGGTGTTGGTAGTCATGTTTATCTACAACCTTCTGTCTCGTGTACTTTGAATCAACTCTGACACAGATGATCCTTCACACTTCCAGCATCTACTCTCTTGGTCTCCCTCTGCCTCTTCTCCACTCCAACTTTCTTACTATCATGATGTACTCCATTTTTGTCCTTCTCCTTACAGGAGCAAAAAATGTAGATTGTCTCTTTCTGATGTGGGCAGTCAGTTCTCTTTGTGAGTCAGTTTATTTCAAGACATCTTCATTACTCTTTTTATTCGTCCAGGGTATTCCCATCATTCTGTCTATAAAACCACATCTCCGCAGCTTCAAAATAAGTTCTCACTAATTTACCAACAGTCGATGATTCAAAGATATGATTTATATAGCTTTGAAGAATTCTCTTTCTCATCTTAACTGACAAAAAAAGAATGCATAAAATCCTTTCCTGATATCAGCTTGAATGTAGTCACCGCTGATATTTCATTCATAAAGATCCCCCTGTCAGTTCCAGGGCCACTGTGGTGGTGGTGGTGGTGGGGGGGGGGGGGGGGGGGGCAGGGGGGGGGAACAGAACCTCTGCAGGCAAAACTCAAGTTTTGGAACAAGACCAAAGTCCAGAAGTCAATGAACTATCAGAATATTCCAGGTAAGTCTGCAGGCAGTGAAGGCTACAAGAAGGTGATTCACAGAGAAAACCAAAAGATGGGACAAACTTACAGACATCCGAGGAGTCAGTGAGTAGTCTGTATCATAGGGAAGCCTCCTGGGTGAGTACATGCTAGAACGACTCAGTGTGTCCATTCTTGGACTATAAGCTGTTTCTGGAAGAATCATTCCTGGCATCTGGCTCATCTGCATCTATCAACAAAAATAATGAAATGATCAAACATTCTAAATAATGAAGATACAAACAATAGGCTGCATAATTAATTACCGGGCATGACACCATCCCACACCCACAGCAGACTGCACGTTACTTTGTAAACGTACGGGTGCCTTAATATAACAGTTTATATGGTTAGAACATGGTTTCTGTGACTTGCTCCTGTTTGATTCCATATGCTGGCCCTAACGATTAGCTGGCATTATCAAAAACTTGTTTATGCACCATCGACATGAGAGCTCACGAAAAAAAAATTCTTGGAACATTTACTTTAGGCATTACTGTACCAAATTGTTCCCTTAAAGGTGATAAAGAAAAGTGTTTTGACTACATTTATTACAAAAGTCGCAATTTTAACACAGTGGCAAGGTCTAAAGTTACGATCGGTGAGGCTGCGATCGTTGGAGCCAGGCATAAACGTCAGCAGATCACATAACAAGTGATCGTGGTAGTCAGTGGATTTATTTAAAGAATTTCAACTGATCTTTGACCCTTCTTATTCTCTGTCACAATCTATAAAATAAAATAAAAACAGAACTCAGAAAGCGACACTACAAATATCACAGCCACATTAAGTAATATAAATAGAAGTTACTTACTGTTGCAGTTTCTAATTTTTTTAAAACCTTCTGGTATCGAACTTTTTCATGGGTTTCAAATTCCTCCTTCGTCATCACTTTTGTTTTGATCCCTTCCTTCAAAGTACTGCCAGAAACATATCAAAACAACTATTATTTTCATAAAAGATAAAACTATCATATCTGAGTACATACTTCGAAAAATAATTGTAGTAGAGTCCTATCGCACAGGTCTGGCAGAACTGTGCACATGGCTGGTACAACTAACCTAACTTTTCTGCACATTTGGTTGCATAATTGATTGTGCCTAGTTTTGAGGTGCAGGATAATGACTTGTTCTGATAAGATAGTTACAATAATCTTCTTCTTACTTTTCTAAGCGCTCACCTTCTATAAACTCCAGCAGAAATTTATAGTAGTTTGTCCACTCTGTGACTTAAGTCTTGTTTCAGAACTTGAGTTATGAACACATCAATTTCACATATCTGTCTTTTTTGTATGCAGACTGTTGGCTCCTCATCTCTCAGGCAGATGCTCTCTGATTTTGAAGGTAAAGAAAAGAGACCCTCCCCCTCTCCCCTTTGTCCGTACTGAAATAGCCTTGTGCTCTGAAGGTCGTGGGTTTGTTTCATGGCTGCGCCCTTCAGTTCATGACTGTAATTTTTAAGGATAACCCTGGGGATCATCGCCAGAGATATGAAGTTCATGCTATGAGCGGCACTCTCGGCAGGCAGCCTGCAGTTTTGCGGAGAGAAACCAAGCCATATGAGATAAAACTCGGTGCAATGAAATCAATCCTCTTGACTTTAACCTCTTATAGATATCTAAGATATCTGTGACAGAAAGAGTGAAGATTCACAAAAACACACACATACCTTGTTCTGGCTGTTTCCATTTCTTCAATGTCAGTTGTCTCCAGTGGAGACATAGGACGAGGTGAGCTGCTGTCAGCTTGGGCAACTGGGAACAGTTTAACATCATAAATAAACTATAACAAATAAAATAAGCAACTCACTGACCTGCAAACAATTTCAAGCACAGTAGGTGAAATGTACCTTGTAAGCTGCATTACCATGCACTGATGTACTCATTTTTACTCCTCACATTTTTTTTGCTCAGTGCCCAAACAGATACACAAGGATGACAATAAGTATGTCATAGAATAAATATAGACTCCTCTACAACTTTACAGCTAGCAGTTTTAGGCAGCAGAATTTGTACAGTCTGGAGTCGGCACTGATTGAGTAAATGGTATTGTCCTTACATTCCAAAATCAAATATATATAATAGGTATATAGCAAGTACAGATAAATGTATGCTGCATATTTTATACAGCTATAAAGAGCTATACTTATATGAAAAGGAATCAGAAAAAGAAGTAATAAATATGAACAGACAAATCTTATTTTTTTGAGAGAATCATATCTGTAAACATAGCTCCAGGACTTGATGGCATTAGATACAGCGACTTCAAAAGTCTCAAGGAGACAGATATGGATGAACTATCCAGGATACTGAGCAAACACCAGGAAAACTGGCATTATCCCTGATGAAGGGCACAATAGCTACCTCAGACCCATTCTGAAGCCAGGAAAAAACCACATGAGAATAAATGGCTTCAGAATTATCACACTCCAGAACACTGTAGGAAAATGTTGAATCAAACACTGGAGTCAGATGGTCTATTCTCCCCTACATTAGCTGGTTACTGACTGGGGAGAGATAAATGGTGCAATGCTGCAGTTTTTGCCAATGACACATATGAGGAGTTTTTCAGTAGGGAATTGAAATGGCTGCAGCTGCTACTGACTTACATTCAAGATGGGTAGAACAGCGTCCCATACAACAAGCTAATCAGACTGCTGTTGGATATGCAGATAGAAACAAAATGGGTCATTGGGATCGCAGCAGCGCTATTCGTAAGAACAGTGTCACTTTAATGTTGCGCATGGGCATCAAAACCTCAACGCGTCCTAATGGGTCTGCCCCAGGGATCACCATTGTCGCAGGTGCTCTTTAATGTGTACACAGCAGGAGTCACGAGTGCACAAAGCGAAGGCCTAGGCAGAACAATGTTGAATACAGATATCCTTGTTTACCGTCGAGGTAGAAACAGGCACAAAATTACAATCAGGCTACAATACAAACTAGACAGACTCGGTGAGGGGTGCCAGGAACTGAAAGCACAAGTGAACCCTTCAAAGGCCTCATTACCATGGTTTTCTCAGAATACCCACACTGGCAGTGCACCAAGCTTGTGTTAAGTCTCACTGACTATGGTCTGGGCCTCCTCACTAAGCACAATCCAGCTTAAAAGACTTGACAAAGTACATAATGAGGCCATGAGACTCAAACTCAGCTGCACAAAAGACACCTCCTGCAACACCATGCGATGAGTTCGGGAGTTTGCCAACGATGGACAAAAGACACTAAGTCGCACAGGTCAAGACGTACATGAGAGGATCTGCAGATGTTAACCGCCCACTGCACAAAGCTATACACGGTACAAAAAGAATGCAACTCAAAAAAGGTCGTTCCTGAATGGTCAAGGCTGAAGATTTAATCCAGCAAGTATGTGACCTAGACGAGATCACACGGGGAAAAGAAGAAACAAATACACCAGAAGACAAGCGCAGCATCATCTCTAAGGTTATCATCACACTGGGAAGGTACTACAGGGATCAGATTCCTTTGGCCATAGACACAGAGGTAAGGGCACTGATGGATCAGCATTCAGACCCAGATGACATCATCGTCTATATAGATGGATCTGTGAAGCGCGGATCAAGGTCAGCATGGGCATAAACAGTGCATAGAATGGGAAGAACAATACAAGAGAACAGTGACGCCCACCAGGCAACCACGGCTAGCGTGACCATGGAGATAGCCGCTGCTTCTAGAGCACTAGCTATGGCATCAGAGCAAACAGCCCCACAGGCAGTAATCCATGAACATGCTTCAGAAGATGGCAACAGGTAGTATGTGCTCTAAATGGGTAGAAAGCATTCAAAAATCGCACTTAACCTCCCTCACCTGGATCTAAACACCTGGCCATGTGGGTGTAAAGGGTAATGAGCGAGCGGACCAACTGGCAAGTAATGCACCAACGCATGTGGGAAGAAGCATGGACAGAGCTTTAGGACTGGACTGAAAGGATAATATCCCTAAACATAAATTGGGTGGTTGTCATAAATTCAAATGCAAAAAACACTAATGGTAGAAACCTGACTCACTGAGAGGATCATATATATGAATTTAAACTGAGTGGTTGTCATAAATTCAAGGACAATTAATACTAACAGAAAAACCTAACTCACTGAGTGGATCATATCTGTAGACATAGACTGGATGGTTGTCTCCGAGAGAGCACAAAGCCAACATGTGATCCCTGGGGTGATAGTGTACATCGGTTACAGGTGACTGGTAGTTGAGCTGTGTGTAGACGGCCACCTGGTCGCCTGTGTGAATATTCAGCAAAAAGGTTTTTTTAAGTTAGTTGAGTGCCCTTTGCAGAACCAATCACCCCAAAAAAAAAATGTTTAGTCTGTTATTTCACTAGGTAATTTAACGTACAGGAGTTTGCCTGTTTTCTCAATGGAGGGCTCTTGATATGACTGGTGAAACAATGCAAGGCCGTCTGCTGCCACAGCGTGGAATGAACACACTGGAGCATGGAATTACAAAGTATGTGCACAGCGCCCAAGCCACAGATGCCAACACACACACACACAAATGTACAATAAAAAAACATGTCAAAGACAGACATGGTAGGAGAGCCTCCGTGGCAAAGTAGCATTTGCCTTGCTTCTGATGGTTGTGCATTCAAATTCAGCCCTTCAGGTGGTGAATAAAGGCATTCTGGAGATCCGTGAGAGTCCAGTAGAGCTAGGGACACAAACCAAGACACATGGGATAAAACCTGGTATAATTATGTTGATTCTCAAGCCTTAAGTATCCTTTAAAGACAAACCTTTGGTCATTCATTCATTGTCCTGTTGTGCTTTGACGTCTCTCCTCAACATTTCCCTTAAGAGTTTCCCTTGTATGTCCTTGTTTCCTCAATCCATCTATTTCCCATTTCAGTTAAAGACAAACAGGGTGAGAGCAGATCTGAGCTATTATAATATTTACCACCGGCTCAAGAATATCTAGTTGTCCTGCATTTGTAGCTGGAGTTTTTACAAAATAATAACAATAATGGCACACTCCAGAATCTTGCATAGTTGCATGGACATCTAGCCATTTCGGATCATTTTGCGTATTCTTCCTCTGCCCTTTATTTATCAATGGGACATATGCCCTCAACAAATGTACACAGGTCTTTCTTTGGCATAGTTGTTTGGCTTTTGCAGGTGAAGCTGTTTTACAGGATGGGATAGCTAACCCCAACACAACCCTACCTTCAGTCACCTCCAACAAACTTCAAGGTAGGCTGCAGTCTTATTCTGCACTGATTCCTCTAAAGAAAACAACAAAATGCCAACAACAGACTTCTGCTGAAGCAGAATTTTAAAATTGCAAATGTAACCAACAAAAAAAATAAAATATTTAAAATCATGTGTGATTCTTTTATACACAGATTGGAATCCCTGTCATTGTCATAGAATTCTTCCACACAATGGTGAGATTCTCTTTACACAATCTATAGGAAAAGGAGCTTTTGTGGAGAAGGGCCAAGTTTGACAAAAGTGATTCTATATTTACCAAACTAAGTACAAGAGAAATGCAATGCAGAATTAAGCACGAAGAATTAAACAAGAACAAAGGTGTTCACTTTTGTGTAATAAAATACTTCAATTTGAACCTTTTCACTCCGGAAGACTGCTAACTCGGCACATTCACACATTCATCTGTTCCCAGTCCCTGTAAACACTGCTTAACTGGAAAAAGGCATTCACCTGTCCCCCAAAAAGCTTCATTTACGTCAATGGTTCTGCTGGTGCTCACAGTGTTTAGTAAGCTCTGCTTATGACTATATTTACTACAAATAGAATGTGGGGCTGTTGGAGGGGGGGGGTTGTGTGAAAAAAACTGATTTGTTGGCCATTATGATGTCATAATTTATCTTGACTTTAGAAGTCTTAATTAAAATAAAATTTCTTATTTTATTTTTAGACCCAATGGAGTCTTGTTGTTTGCATTCACCGGCTGTAAACTCCAGCAGAAGGTTCTATTTGCTCACCACCTCTGGACTTTAGACTTGTTCCAGAATTTCAGTGTTGTGTGCACATCCATTTTACAGATTTGACTTATTTGTATGCAGACTGTTGATTCCTTGCCTCTTGGGCAGATGCACTTCGACTTTGAAGGACACACTCAATAAGTCTACTTGGAACTAGTCATGTTTTCGGGCCCAGCGACACCATGACTGGCCGTTCATTGATGTGTCTTAACCTTTCACATACATGACTTTCTCTTACAAGGGTGTCAGGTTAGAACGCACACTCTCGTGGGACCGAGGCTGAGGCTGTCCTCTAGAAGGGCTGGAGTTAGGGCCAGTTGTAAACATTATGGGGTCATTAAAAGTGGCGGTAACATCGTGTAGTATGGAATGCGGGATATCGACGATGACAGTGTAGGAGACTATGTACCAAGGGATTCAAACCCTGATATTCTACATGAGAGCCCAGTATTCTAATGTTCAGCAACATCTCCTCAAACTATTAACTATTTAATGTAAAACATGCAAATAAAACAATCTTAGAGCCAATAAATACTGAGATTTATTTACGAAGTCATAAAAACAATATGCAAGTAACTTCTCTTTAATGTTCATATTTGTGAATAAAATATACATAAAAAGTAAAACCCACCAGTGTCTGTGTTCCATGCAAACAGCTTGCCATCTTCACTGCCTGAAAATACAAAACTGCCACAGGGGGTGATTGTGCTGCAGATCTTTTCCTTGAGATTCTCTGCTCCAAAGTACTTCTGCATCACTCGCTGGCTGTAGTGTTTGGCAAGGTATACAACAAGTTAATTTTGAACAGCTGTACAATGTATAAAACATATTTGCAATGACTCTCTTTTGTCTCATGTCATCTGCAACCTTCTCAACTGTACACTGACAAATAGTTCAACAGGTTGAACAATAAACTAAGCCAACGCAGCAGTTTATCGTTGTCAATGTTTATTCATTCAAACAGCTGTTTTCTTGGCCAGTGCACGTCGAGGTAAACAGTCTAGCGATGACTAAGCTCGGCCACTTAACATAGCATCAATCAACATAGTCAATCAAATATTACCTTTAAGAATAACACAAAGACACTGTGACAGCTGCAACCATCCACACTGACAGCAGAAGGCTTGATCAAATGTCAGACCGACAGCATAGCCAGGTTTTCATGGAACTACAGTCAAATCAGTACAGGCATTCACTTGCGGTTACATTCGCTCAGCATTCACTCCATCAGCACTGTCAATCACACTGTTCCAGGATCGAAACACAAGACTGATCATTCTAGATAATTCCAGGCATTAAATAATCTTTCTCGTTTGGTGACACCAAGTGTTTACAGGTCTGTCTGGATGTTATCTTATAAGATGTACACACTTGAAATAACTTTCACATTCACTGTAATTTGTAATTTTGTTGTTGGGGGGGGGGGGGGGGGAGAGGGCTAGTTTACAAAGTCTGTGTAATGTGTATATTTAGAAAAACAGACAGGATAAAGAAAGAGTGTTAGAGAAAGTAAGGAAAAGATAAAAGATAGCGAGAGAGAGAGAGAGAGAGAGAGAGAGAGAGAGAGATCAGAGAAAAAGTAAGAAAGTAAGAGAATAAGACCACATATACATAAAAATATTAAAATAGAAACGAAGGAGAAAGAGGAAGCAAGAAAAACAGAGAATGAGAAAAAGTAGGCAAGACAATTAACAGAAAAAGGAGAATTAGGGAGAAGGGCAAAAACAATGAGGAAGAAATAGAGAGAGAGAGAGAGAGAGAGAGAGAGAGAGAGAGAGAGAGAGAGAGAGAGAGAGAGAGAGAGAGAGAGTATAAATAAGATAGAGAGTGAAAGAAACTTCAACAAACACTACTCACACTCTAAGATCAAACATAAAGATTGCGTTGTTACGTCCATGCACCAGAAGTCGCCGTCCGCTAGGATGCATCTTAATAAAATTAATCGGAGTATCCCTCAACTCTGGGTCTTTTATCTCCAGATATTTTGTCCAGTCCCTCAAGAAATCTGAGACCAGTTGAAAAAAATTAGAAGAAAAACAAAATTGTAATTTATAATTACTGCTGTTAGAGAGAGACTAGTTCAGCAGGAGGAGAAATTATAGATGGGTTACAAATGGTTTGGAAGGCAATTGGGAGAAAATGATGGATGAGTTGATAGAGTGGTTTCAGAGACAGTATGAGGGAAATTTGTTGATGGATGGTGTGGTCTGGGAGACCATATGTAGAAAATGTTGGATTGATTGTTAAAGTAGTTTTGGAGATGACAGACAGATGATAGAAAATGACAGACAGTTTGACAGAGTATTGTAGAAGGCAAGAGAAAATGGTGTATAATTTGGCAGAATGGGATAGAAGACAAAAGGGTGAAAATGATGGATGGGTTGCTAAGAGTAGTTTCAGAGATGATAGAAAATGACATAAAGCTTGACATAGTGTAGGAAACAAGAGAAAATGATGGATAGTTTGATGGAGTGGTCTGGGAGACAATAGGGAGAAATGTTGGACTGGTTGTTAGCATAGTCTGGTAAATTACAGAAAATGACATACAGTGTGACAGACTAATGTAGGAGACAAGATAATATGATAGAGTGGTCTGGGAGACAGGAGAGAGAAAAATGTGAGATGGGATGATAGAGTGGTTGAGAAGACACAATACAGACAATGTTGCATGGGTTGATACGAGTGGTCTGGGAGAAAATGATGTCTAGCCTGGGAATGTAGTGTAGGAAACAAGAGAAAATGACAGAAAATTGTACAGAAGGATTTGGGAGACAGCATGAAGAAAAATATTAGATGGGATGACAGAATGGTTTGCAAGACACAAGGGAGACAATGTTAAATGAGTTGATAGAGTGGTTTAGGGGAAAATGCTGGATTTGGTGACAGAGTGGTTTAGGAAATGAGAAAAAAATGGCATACAGCTTGTCAGCGTAATGTAGGAGACAAGAGAAAGTCAAAAAGCATGAAATGTCTGTTACTGACAATGAATTTTTTTTTTTTTTTTTTAAATATTAAATAATAGTTCTTCTTCTGCAATTGTCTTTTGAAGGGTAGTCTGTGCACTGTGCTGAGCTTCTTCAGGCTTAGATTTCAGTTCAAAAAAGAATGTCCTGTGTGCCATGATGTTGATTCATTGTCAGCCCAACACATCGGATTTCAGTAAACCCCAATTAGTTGCCCTTTACAACATGTTTGTTACAGAGGCATTAGGTCCATTCTTTTTTGTTGTTTTTTCCTAAAACAAAATGGGGACCACAGAACCTATATAAAGAAAATACTAGCCAACTGAGTCCAATCCAACTTAGCAACAATTCAACTGATCACATGACTTACGTTTTCTGGATGACTCATCTGAGACGTAGCAGTTCCAGATAATAATTGTCCCAACACTATCTGCTGAAAACATTTTCTGCCCATCATCTGTGTCGAAGCATATTGAGTTGATGTGTCCATGATGCTCTTCCATCTCTTGCTGCAGCTTGAAAGAATATATTCAAAGGTCAACTATACTTTACCCATGTCTTCTGTGATCTACAAACATATTTAACTAAAGATTAGTGAAGATGCTTCAGAAACCTCAAGGTTTGATTCTCGCAGCCAGCGGTTTGGAAACACTATGCTTGTGATTTTCAGAAAGTGGTAGGGGAGTCACACTATGGAACAGTCTATGTCTTTATCCTGTAATACTCATAAAGACAGTAATGGATGCAGATACCTACTGTAGTCAAAATCCAATGTATAGACAGCCTAACATTTAAAAAATATTTATATATTTACCCCTGTAAAGGCTGGGAGCCACCGTGATGTAGCAGCCAGATACTAGCCAGCGATCTGAAGGTCATGGGTTCACATATGAAGGGTGCTGGACAAATGACCTTGGTTTCCAGCCTTACCCTACCAGACCGCTGAACCGATTTTTCGGGAATTTCTTAACCCAACGCTAAACCGCTGTCCCTAATTTTCAGCAATTTGCGTAGTACGTGAAAAAGATGCGTCAGACTGAAAATAACTAGCCAATCGTAATCAGACCTCGTGGACAGTCTTCCCAGATGTCTGCCCGCAGGTGTTTGGATAAAATTTGTGTTGTTTTAATGAAAAATTCTGAAAAGTCACAATGAAACGAGCGGCTGATGAAACAAGCACTTCTTCAGGAAAGTAAAGTAGGTCTAGGCTTTTCACAGTCCAACAGGTGATAGATACTTTCTTTCATTCAGACTGCAGAGTCATAATTTCATGAAGAATACATTCACAGTTGAAGTGACACATTCAGTAAGAGTTCAAACAATGAGAAGAATCTTGAAAATTATAAATCTAGAAATAGATCAATAGCAGGGGAAGGGGGCGTGTCCCTCACACAGCAACATCTAGTGTTCACTTTGCAAAACAAGTCTGATCCTCCTGAGTGAATTGGCACACAAAGGCGGAATATTGGCGCTAGATAAAAGGTAAGCCTAATTTCTACAATGTCTCCAAGTTTCATCTTATTCTAGCCACTCATTTGCATGTAACTAATATTTTTGTATACCATGTTGGTTTTTTGGCGTTAATGCCCAGGAGCTCAGGTATAGGGGGCAGTTAGGTTCAGGGTGTCAGGTCTGGTAGGGTTAAATGGATACAAGGCAAAAGTCCTGGAAAGTAAATGTGGCCAGTGTGATGCTGACTAGACTTACCAAGTGCCAACTGGTCTACAATATATAAGTCTAGCACTGGTCTATAAAATATATGTCTAGCCTTATATGTCCAATACGCCTTATGGGACAGGAAAGGTCCTTGTACTTGTAAAGGCTGCTACAGTACAATGTCTGACCACTGATTTGGGTGGTGAAAATTGTTATGGTTCTTTTTCTGCTCTGTCCAAGAAGCATCACAGAGAGGAGTTAGATATAGCTTCCTGTCTTTTGCTAGTTGCGTAGCTTGTGTTAGTATCATATCGGGGTTTCCGTAGTGTCCCTTTTACTCCCTCCTTCTGTCTCTTTCTGATTTGTCTCTTGATCTGTAGCCAGCTGTTCTCATGTTGTTGCTCTAGCTGCTGGCTGATTTTGTTCCATTCTGACCAAATGACCAAACCATTTGGTTTTTTGATTTTCTATTAAATTGCCTACCATTGCTGTTAGTTCTTCATTTGTGACTCTGTGACTTCTTGTTTTTCTTTGACATTTCTTATACATCTTACCTCACATGTTGTGATTTGCATTTATATTTTTTCAAGGACTGTCCACTGATAGCAAAATTTGTATGAACAGCACATTTTTCAGCAGCTTTTATTGTTATATTTAATTATCTAAAAAAAAATTTGTATCTTTTTCTGCAAAAATTAAACATAAATCTTTCATTTAATTTTAAGCAGCACATTCAATGTTATAACAAATCCCTCGTTTGATTATGTTGTGCAGATAAATTAAACACTGCATTAAAAATATCAAAAAAATGAAATGCAGAACTAACTTACCACATTATGATCTTCTGGCAAACTGATATCCCAGACACGAACCACTTCATCATAGCAGCCGGATGCAATAATGCTATCTACACGAGGATGAAATTCGGCTGTGTACACAAAACCAGGGTGAGGCAGAAGACGTGATTGACTTTCTCCAAATCTCTGTATATCCCAAACTCTGAAACCAGCAGAAATAATGTAGCTCTGGCTAGATTAATAATACAAACATTGTTTCAAACACCGCTTAAACCTCCTACCCCTTTTGCTCCTTCGCATCCTTCTTTTTCTTCTGCTAGTTATCTTCTAACAGAGAACAGGCTTTCAGCCAATGCATGCACAGCTTTTTGTAGGCTTGTTCATAACTGCTTAGATCAGAGGTTATCCACGTGGCCTGCGGCTTGAATCCGGCCCACACAGGCCTAGCAAATGGTTCACAGATCATTGCCAATTGTACTGCATTAATCTTTCTATGCTGGGGCTCTGGCCCATGATGATCTCCCTTTTCAACATTCTGACCTCTGAGTAAACTTAGTTGAAAAGCCCTGGCTTTGATTTTTTACAGATAACGTTTTCTCCCGGCTGACGTAGTATGTTTCATGTAAATCCTCTCTAATCATCTCTTACGACATGCTGGATGGGTTACCAAGTTACCATTCTTTGATCCCTTATGGGCAACTGGTATTTCTGCGGATAGAGATAGGGGCCAAATGGGACAAAACCCAGTGCAACAAAGTTGATCCCGTAGACTTACATTTCTAATGAAAAATAAACATTTTTTCAAATGTACAGACCTAGCCGTGCCATCATTGGACGCAGAGAGCAGGAATGTGTCACTTTTGTTCCAGCTGAGACTGTACACAATACCGAAATGCCCTTGAAACTGACCTCTAAGCTCTCCAGAAGGAATCTGAAAATTGTAAAGGCACATTTAATAAACAACAGTTGTTACTATGAAAGAATTAATTTAATAAAATTGGGGATAATAATTTAGAGTCATATGCCCTCAAACAACTACAGCTTTATATTGTCTTCTAACAAATTATAGTAAAGTAATTTTAGAGAAATTTTTATAGAGCAATGGCACAGAGGGTATGTGAAACTAGACCAACCCGCACTCAGTGGGTGATGGAACATCATACCAGCTGCCTTTACTTCCCAAGGCATTACCTGGTAGCCATTTTTGGCTGGTCAAAATGAGAGCTAAAGACAAAACCAAAAAAAGAAATCTTTAAACATTATAAACTTGAATGCATTATTCTAACATATTTTGCCCAGTGGAGATATTCTCCACATCATTTCATTCAAGCTGACTTTTCTTCTTCTTTGCTGAAATTCTCAAAAGAGCACAAACCCTTAACCCTTTCACCCTGAGATTTCGCAAAACCGGCACATCCTGTTGGGTCTAATTTTCCCGCCAAACTGATCAAAAACAGCCAGACAGTTTTCACAAACAACAGTCATAGCAGAAGTTAGAACAAATATTAGTATGTTCTTTCATAACTATTCCTAGGAAACATGTGATGTGAGTTGAGTTCTTCCCCATGAATCGTAGACATCACATAATGTGTTCTCTTATTGTGTATGTTCGGTCAGAGTGTGCTAAAGGAATCTAGATTCCCCAGGGACCACTTCCAGCATGTATGCAGACTCTCTAAAAGTCACGGTTTCTGAATTTTTCATAATGCATATCCCCCTACACCCACCCCACATCTTTTTCCATTTGTCATGTTTTGAGCATCTGCTGCAAAATGTTCTGGGGCTGAATGAATTAGGCGACCGTTATTTTCAAATAACTCTTCTCTTACAATCTAGCCAGAAACTTGTGATAAGAGCATCAGAACGATCAAAGCCTGTCCCACTAATGTTAAAAGGTCACAGAAAGATATAGAGATGAGAGGAGGAAGAAAAATATTGACAGAAAGGAAAATAAAAAAGGAATTATATTTTTGAAAACAATTAATTTACATTAATGGCTTTCAGAAATCAATTTATAAAAGTGATCAATTTATTAAAAAAAATGAAAAAACATTGAAGGGGGAGTCAAAGTATCAAAGTATAACACAAGATGGGAAAGAAAGGGGCTATTGTCTGTAGTAAATTAGATCTCAAGCAGTCAGTTAAGGTTTTACAGTCACATACGGAGCTTATTAAAGATGATGTAGACAGAAAAGTGGAACCATGCAACAGGAAGCCGATGTTACATGTGAGTGTACAGCATTAGGAGATTGATTAAAGAAGTGTGTTTGAATGCAGGGAGATCTCTGTGTAGCAAAACGGTCAAGCAATTAGCTTCATGCTATGGAGGTTGTGATTTTATTTTCAACGCCATCCTTCAGTTTGTGAGTGCAGACATACTAAAAATTCCTAGGTTGTTGCTGGAGTTAATGAGTTTGTGCTTTGTGGAATGCTTTCACAGCTAACCAGCTGCTCAATCAAGACAGATAGAGCTACATGGGATCAAAACTGGCCTAATGAAGCCAATACTCTCACCACAAAGACACAGGATGTCATACTTGAGGCAGCCAAGGTTTAATGTGGAGATTGCAAGCGATAATGATTTATAAACATGCAGTATGGTACAAGACCCACCTCGTAAACTAAAATTGGATGATCTGATCCGTCGTGACAGGCACAAGCTAGACTTCTGCAGAAGAAACAGCAGTCAACAGTTAAACATGGCAGACGTGACAGAAGTTACTGCTCATTCGTTGGTTGATTTGGTTTGTCCATTTTTATTTGATCTCCAGTCTCCTCTCACAAATCACACAAACTGGTTTTCAGCATAAAGCACAAACTCCACAGCACTAGAGAGAATCCCAGTGCATGTATACAAGAGCCAATTTAATTATAAATAAAAACTGTGTCTTCTTCTCCTTATCGTTCACCAGCTGTAAACTCCGGCAGAAAGTTTTGGTTGTTCATTCACCACTGGACTTTGTGGTTTTGTTCCAGAAGTGAAGCTTTGTACATGTTTTCTGATCTGGCTTATCTGTATGCAGACTAGTGGTTCCTTACCTCTCAAGCAGATGCACTCTGATTTCGAAGGAAACACCCCTTAGTTAATCACCTTTTAACAACCTGCTTGTTAAAAAGGCAATTCCAGTGAAATGTGACTAAAAAGTTTGACTGCAGTCGCCCCCATAGTCTCACCACTTGTTAAAAAGGCAATTCCAGTGAAATGTGACTAAAAAAATTGACTGCAGTCGCCCCCATAGTCTCACCACTTGTTAAAAAGGCAATTCCAGTGAAATGTGACTTAAAAGTTTGACTGCAGTTGCCACCATAGTCTAACCATTTGTTAAAAAGGCAATTCCAGTGAAATGTGACTAAAAAGTTTGACTGCAGTCGCCCCCATAGTCTAACCACTTGTTAAAAAGGCAATTCCAGTGAAATGTGACTAAAAAGTTTGACTGCAGTCGCCCCCATAGTCTCACCACTTGTTAAAAAGGCAATTCCAGTGAAATGTGACTAAAAAGTTTGACTGCAGTCGCCCCCATAGTCTCACCACTTGTTACAATGGCAATTCCGGTGAAATGTGACTAAAAAGTTTGACTGCAGTTGCCACCATAGTCTAACCACTTGTTAAAAAGGCAATTCCAGTGAAATGTGACTAAAAAGTTTGACTGCAGTTGCCCCCATAGTCTCACCACTTGTTAAAAAGGCACTTCCAGTGAAATGTGACTAAAAAGTTTGACTGTAGTCACCCCCATAGTCTCACCACTTGTTAAAAAGGTTAAAATGGGGTCCCGGATTTCACAAAAAATTATACTTCTAATGAACTTAAACCATTTACCCTAAACAGACTGTTTTGATTTTAAATGGATAATTCTTTTTATTTGAAATTTTGCCTGTGCAATGATTTACATTGTTGCTCAAACTACGGTCAAAACAACAAGAAGCAGTCTGATGTCAAATTGCTGGTAAGTGACTTAGTGCCCTAGTGTGTCAGAATTCTGAAGCTGTTTAACCCCTAAGCCAGGGGTACCGGCCTTAATCCATAGACATCAAAAAGATCAAATATATGATAACTTCTGTCACAGCAGTTTTTCAAATTCCCAGTCTTCGAAAGTCCACATGGCTACAGGACGCTCAAAGATGGAAGATGGTTCCTCATGACATCCTCTATGGTGATGGGTAGAAATTCTCTAGGTCGTCCTCTGCTAAAATTTAAATATGTGTTGAGGTTGATTCATAGGAAGAAGAGGCCACGGATCATACTGCATGAGGAAGGGGGGTGTTTAAGAGGGGAATACAGACAAAGGAGAACAGGACTGCAGACAGATTAAGAGTTGAGCATCTGAGAAAACACACACATCAGGTGATGGTAACAATGATTCTGAAATTGCATGCACTTATTGTAGAAGATACTTTTTAATGCAGGCAGGTCTTGCTAATCACAGCTGTCACCCCCACAGTGTGATTCCCATGCCTCCCTAAAGCATAATGCAACATTATCATCTCAAAAGACAGAAAGATCACAACAACTGTACCCTTAATATAACTTCATACCTGCCATCATTAGAAAACTTGACTATATAACATCCTTTCTTTCCTGTCTTCAGTGTCAGGGTAAGGGTGTTGGGAATACGGCAGAGCTGACCATGAAGGCGTGTCCATGTTGACAATGGACGTCCCCGGACCTGAGTCTTTTCTTTGCCTGACCAGTTCATAGACTTTAGGTCTTTGTATGACATGTGACCCAGTTCCTAGAATTTGAGTAGCAAAATGGCATTGGAATACATTTTATAAGTCATGTTGCAACCAGTGATACTGGATATCAAATTAACAGCATCATGATTCAACAGGCTGGGACAGTGAGTATCTGTAAGGGAGGAAGGAAGGTGTTTAAAGCCGACAGTTTTTTTTTCATTTTAGGTTTAGGTTTAAACAATGGATCAACATCATGGCACAACAGTAGTAACTCATAAGTGCTCCGCTCTACTTCTAACTCAAGCCTAAGTCTGAAGATTCTCAGCACAGTGCACAAACTCCGTAGCACCAGCAAGGATCCTGAATATACTCTGTGTATATTTTTTACTCCAAATTTAGCCCAGGCAGCGCCGTTAGGTTACTCTTTTAGATTTCCAACTGCCAAGGGATTCTGTGCTACGGACAGCAATACATACAGGGGTCCAATCTTACTACCCAGAGACCAGAGGAAATTACTAGAAGTCTACGTGAAAAAATCTCAGCCCTCACTGGAACTTGAACCTGGGACCTCCAGCACTCGAGGTGGAGGCCATGCTGTGAGACCACTCAGCCCCCACTCCATTATAGTTCAGTTTATCTCCTTATAGCATTAGATCACCAGTGACAGAACCTGATGAAGTACAGACTCTACTTTCAGCCATAATCCTTTGGAATCTCTGAAACACTTGCACTCACAAACTAAAGGACAGTCGAAACCAGCTTATCATCATCATGTAGCAGGTCCTTTGCATAACGTCGCTCTCATCATGATCTGCCTGGAAAAAACTCGGTCTCTCACCAGTTCTCCCGCCTCATGTACTTTCATACTCAAGGAGTCACTTATATCCTGTGCCCATCTTCGTGTGGGTCAGTCCCTGCCCCTCCTTCCTCGTACCATGCCTTCTGCTATAATTTTTTCTAATCCAAGGTGGAGCTTGATATGACCAAAATATTTCAGCTTCCAAAACAGGATGCTGTTTATTAGCCAATCTTCCTTGATGTTCAGTTCTTTCAAGATGTGAAACCAGCTAGCAAATGGAAATGGAAATGGAAACACCAAGAGGCAGAGGTAGTGGCAGATCCAGAAGAATATGGACTGCAGGAGTCAATGACAACCTGTCTTCATAACATCACGGCATTCCAAGCAGAAGAGCATGTCCTGGCATCTGTTCAACTACAGTGCCTACCATCACAAGCAGACACCGACACTAGAAAAAATTTTATGCATGAAACTACTGTTAGTGTTCTTTGTAAATACAAGCAAGGTAGTTTCAAGAATTTGAAAGAAAGAAAACAAACTACATGGACATTATCAGCATCATGTGTCAGAGCATAGGACAAACAGCTTAACCACTTCATTGTGGAGACCTCTAGGAGGCAGAATGAAAGGATAGCATGAATAATATGAGAAATATAATAAGAACAAGAGGGAGGAGAAAAGTACTTAGGAAAGCAGAGCTGGAGGAGTTAGACAGAAAAGAATACAGGATTTAAAAAAACAGATATTTTTGTTTGAAGTAAGCTCAGTGTTTTACAAGATGGAGAATGTTTCCAGTAGTTGCTGCTTCAATGATATAAAAATTATGGTTTTAAATAGCTTGATTTATTCACCAGATAAATAAGTATGAAATCATTTGTTTGTGTCCATTAACTGTTTCCCATTATAAGCAACTCTCTTCGCTTACTGTAGGCTCGTGTTCCAACAACCTTGCATGCTTGTAATTAGGATAATAACAGGGTTTGAATGGGTTAAAGTTAAATCACTGAGGCTCCAATTATTTCATTGGATCAAAGTCTTCAACTTGGTATCACTGGGTATGTCCCTCAAATGCCTCCTACTGTGAGCAATTCTTCAGCTTATCTAAAGTCTGTACATCAATCTCTTTCAGTACCAGAGGAAGTAGATGCCAGTGATGAAATATCTATGACTGAAATCCATGAATTATTTCAAAATAGTAATATAACAGTAACGGTCACCATTGGACAAGCCAGATTTCTTGTGTTTGTTCTGACCAAATACAAAAAAATAGGACTGCATAATCAGCTAAGGAGGGATTCATCAGACAGAGGGAATGATTTGCCTGGCACTCAAAGAGTTAACATTTGTGCATGCTTGTGAGATGTAATTAGGATAATAATTGAATCTGAATTCATCATCATCAGTCATCATCATCATCATCACTATCGTGAACATCACCCACTGCCATTACACATCCTATAGGTCTTTCTCCCCTGTGTGGGTTCTGGGGTCCCATTTTGTTGGGGGGAAAGGGGGGGGAGACACCAACTGGCCCAACAAGCATGTGTAAGAGATGACTAATCAGGGGTGTTTCCTTTGAAGTCAGAATGTATCTGCCTGAGAGGCGAGCAACCAACAGTTTGCATATAAATATGCAAGATCTGTAAAACCGATGTACATAACTCCAGTTCTGGAACCAAGGTTCAGAAGAGAGATGAACAAGCAGAACTTTCTACTAGACCTTACAGACGGTGAACGTTCATAGAAGAAGCTTAATTTTTTTCTTTTAGTAACATATTTCAGCATCCCTTATGCCTGGGTGCCGGGTTTGATCCCAGCTGCGGACGGTTTGTCTTGCGTTGGTTTCGAGAGTGGTGTCGAGAGCTGAGTATTCAGAAAGCAATGGCAAATTACTTAATGTAAAATTTGCCTAGAAAAACCACAACAGCCAAAAAAAAATGGTGGGGTTGGTTCTGCAACATCCTGTAAAGGCTACGCAACTAACTTTAACTTATGATTACACATCTTTTTTATTGATGTTTTTGTAAACGTACACAAGATTACACATCTTTTTATTGATGTTTTATTGATTACACACACACTCTCTTTTTTTTTATGTACTCATGATTACACATCTGTTTTTTTTTTTATTATTTATGTTTTGTAAATGCACACATGATCACAGAGATTTTTTTTTTTTTTGGGGGGGGGGGGGGGGGGAAATAAAATTACATATGATAACACACATTCCTTTTTGGTATATGTACACATGATGACACACCTGTTGTGTAGCAAACATGGATCTCATGGCTCCTGAGACTTCTACAGGTGACTGGACACTTTTGAGTGTAACGTACAGAGTGGACGGATACGGTGTTCTTTGTGTAGATTTCCACCACGTATAAACCTGGACAGAAACAATGAAATGTTGACAACACAAAATGTGGCTATTGCATGAAATCTTTCATGAAGAAAGGAGGTAAATGAGGTGGAATGCTGCTGCAGATTTAATGTAGACAAAATGTGCATAAAGAAGCAATATAAAACTGAAGTGTATCCAGCATTATGATTTCACAAACTTACTAATTATCTGCACTGTGTCTTATTATTTTCTTTTTTCCTTCTGTGAGTCACCTCAGAAAAATGATTGAATTTGAACCATTCTAGGATTGCATACTCGGCGATTAACACCTGATGGCTCAAAGAGCCACTATTCTGATGATAATCCCCCAGGTAAAAACGCATAAAAACCCTGTTCAACCGTATGTCAATTATAATGGGGCACCCGATGGTTACGAATTAACCTGAAGTCTGACTGGAGTTGGAGTGCTGACCTCAGCGAACTGTTGAGGCATATATAAGATAACCATTGTGCTCTTTATATGTTGCATAACTTGGCCACTGGATTGTGCTGCACTTCTCTGCTTTTTTGCCTTCACCGGCTCTCAACTTCAGAGGAAAGTTCTGGCTGTTCATCTACTCTTGGACTTTGGTCTTGATCCAGAATTTCAGCTTTGGTGCACATCCATTTAACAGAACTGACATCTCTTGCAAGCAGACTGTTGGTTCCTTGCCTGGCAAGCAGATGCACTATAACTTTGAAGCAAATATCCCTAATTAGTTGCCACCTACATTTATTGGGAAAGGGGGGGGGGAGGGTGTCCATTCTTTGTTCACCAAAATGGAGCCCAGAACCCCCATGGGGAAACTATGGCAAATATCCTAGACTGCAGATGTGACTGTGAGTCACAGTAGAGTAGTGGCTAGGAGCCCGATGGTCGTAAGTTTCAATCCCTGCAGACAGGGATTTTTTTAATGACTTCAGTTTCTAGTTTGATCCTTAAATCCATGTTCCCATCACAGGACTGGACATTTTCCTAAACACTCCTTTAATGATATCAAATGTTCCTCAGACCTCTCACATCTTGAGGTTAAAACACCCTCTTGTTCTCAGATAAAGGAAAAACCAAGGTCCTTTGACAAGGTGCACATATTACCATTTTCAATACCAGCTATGCATCATTTTAACTTTTTGATTCCAAAGTATATGTTACTCAAAGTATATTTTTAAATTTAGAAAGTTTAAAATAATTTCACTGAGTAAAAGAAGGTTCAAAGTAACATTTGTGATAGCCTGGGTTTTTATAGCTCTAACATAAGGAACCATGGTTACAAAGGTATATCATATAAGGAGTAATTAGTTGACACACGGCAGGTTAACTGGTACTGATCCCTGTGTGGGTTTTGGGCCCCCAAATTTGGTGGAATAAAAAACAGACCCACTGCCAAACTAAAAAGCGTCTCATAAAAGGTGAGTAATTAGGGATTCGCTGAGGTTCCAGGTAGCTAGCATCCTTTGGATATTTTCTCTAGGTCATGGCAGTGAGTTGGGAAACCAGCAGGCTTTTTAGAGCGGCTGGTTCTGCACCACTTGGTGGTGAATTGATGAATGACAAGCTAGATATTTTAAGGCCCTTTAGGGAGCTTATGAACAGTGCGGAGGCACAAATGGATCACTAGGATGGGGACGGAGCGCTTATGGGAGTGTCCTGAGTGCTGTTATGCCGATTCTTAATTCAACATTCAAAATTCACTGAAATCAGAGGTGTTGGGCTGAAAGGTGTAGATACTGCAGCCTAGCTGTAAACCACAATACAACATACCAACTGCTCTTTTCAGTGCAAATACAGAAATAAAAAAAAAGGTTGGTAAGAATAGTTATTATTGCTGGAAAAAGCAATGTGTAGGCCATAAGGTAATTACCATAGCAAAATTGTTAGATAAAAAGCAACCACATGTAGACACGGTAAGTATATAATAAGAACTCCACGGCAGTAGCCTACCAATCCGATAATCAGGAGGTGGTCTCCCTTCATCAATTGTTTTGGCCCATTTATCCCCTAGATTATCTGGGGGGAGGAGTTGGGGAGACCTGGGTCATGACTCCCAGGCCTCGGACATCTCATGCACTGACTGGACAATCAGACACGACCAGAGTGAAAATTTGACAGTTGATTCATAAGACAAACGTTTATTGGAGTGACAGCCTTATATCTAGGATGGAATCTGTTAAGAAGTAAGCAAAAGTAAAGTACTCTTCTCATATCAGTGGTAGATAGGGCTTATGTGCTAGACTCACATTTGTACTGACTAGTCATTGCTCTATGGATGATGTAGACAACATCACGCTATAAGAGGACGCAAAGTCAAAGTAAGTAAAGGGCCCTTTCCCATGCCTACAGGCATTTAGGGCTAGACGTTTATTTTTGTGGACCAGCTGGCACTTGATGGGTGATGTGGTCAACATCACGCCAGCCACCTTTACTTCCCAGGACTTTATCTGGGACAACCTGGAGCCAATGTCATTGTTGAAAAAAAGGTTTGGCTCAGTTCGGATTTGAACCCATGACCTTCAGATCCGTAGATGAGCGAAAAAGAGAAAGTAAACTTTGCATTTATGTATGCCAATGTCCATAGTTACAGCAATTTGTATGCCAATGTCCATAGTTACAGCAATATGTATGCCAATGTCCATAGTTACAGCAATATGTATGCCAATGTTCAGAGTTACAACATAAAGGTATGCCAATGTCCAGAGTTACAGCAAATATGTATGCCAATGTCCATAGTTACAGCAATTTGTATGCCAATGTCCAGAGTTACAGCAATATGTATGCCAATGTCCAGAGTTACAGCAATATGTATGCCAATGTCCAGAGTTACAGCATATATGTATGCCAATGTCCAGAGTTACAACATATATGTATCCCAATGTCCAGAGTTACAGCATATATGTGTGCCAATGTCCAGAGTTACAACATAAATGTATGCCAATGTCCAGAGTTACAACATTTATGAATGCCAATGTCCAGAGTTACAGCAATATGTATGCCAATGTCCAGAGTTACAACATATATGTATGCCAATGTCCAGAGTTACAGCAATATGTATGCCAATGTCCAGAGTTACAACATATATGTATGCCAATGTCCAGAGTTACAACATATATGTATGCCAATGTCCAGAGTTACAGCAATATGTATGCCAATGTCCAGAGTTACAGCAATATGTATGCCAATGTCCAGAGTTACAGCAATATGTATGCCAATGTCCAGAGTTACAGCATATATGTATGCCAATGTCCAGAGTTACAACATATATGTATGCCAATGTCCAGAGTTACAGCATATATGTATGCCAATGTCCAGAGTTACAACATAAATGTATGCCAATGTCCAGAGTTACAACATATATGTATGCCAATGTCCAGAGTTACAGCAATATGTATGCCAATGTCCAGAGTTACAACATAAATGTAAGCCAATGTCCAGAGTTACAACATATATGTATGCCAATGTCCAGAGTTACAGCAATATGTATGCCAATGTCCAGAGTTACAGCAATATGTATGCCAATGTCCAGAGTTACAGCATATATGTATGCCAATGTCCAGAGTTACAACATAAATGTATGCCAATGTCCAGAGTTACAGCAATATGTATTAAGTGCCACAAACTCACTAGAAAAGAGGAATGAAGAAGAAACCTGGTAATAAATCAAACCTGAGGCTGTCCGGGCTGCTGATGCAGGATTTTATTTGGTGGCAAGAACAGCTGCAATCTGATTTTGTTGCCTACGTTAATTTTCCCATTCTTGCCAAGCACCTTTTAGATAGAATAAAACAAGCACATATTACGTAAGCAAGCAATATTTATCAAACAAATTCTAATAACATTGACATGACAAATTACATAAATATACATAGAGTCTGTTTAGGAACTTGTGATAATTTTATCAGCAAACCATTTATTTAGTACCGATAATGTATTTAACTGACGTCTTGAAAGAAACTAAATCACGAAGAGAACTAATTGCCCACATCAGAAAGAGACAAGCTACATTCTTTGGTCACGTGATGAGAAAACTGGAGTGCATCATGACAGTAGGAAAGTTGGAGGGGAGGAGAGGCAGATGGAGACCAGAGAACAGATGCTGGACAGTCTGACATCATGGCATGAAAGATCATCTGTGTCATAGTTGACTGAAAGTACACGCGACAGAATGTTGTGGATAGACATGACTACCAACACCACACGGAATGGACTTTAAAAAGAAGAATGTACTTAATGAGTGTGTAATTCTGAAATACCTATTTAAATCCAGCTGTGGGTGATCTGTTAGCATATCGCTTTGTGCTGATTTTGACAATGGTCGCCTTTTACAACATACTGGTTAGGTGTCTATTCTTCCACCTTCCCCCCCCCCCTTTTTTTTTCCCCAAAATGGAGCCCAGGAACCCACAATGGAAAACTGATTGCATTAAATTATCAGTTGACAAAGAGGATAAGATAATCATAATGAGCTCCACACCAGGTGCCTGAAGAAAAACATTCAATCTTCTATCAATGGCATATGAAGGGTAACATGCTAACAGTTTTGCTGACTGCCTTTAATTTCAAGACTAATCTGTTTGAAGCAATAACTTTAAATCACTTTGTTGAGTTATAAAATGAACAAATGCTAACTGTTTATGGGGTACAGAATTCAAAGGAGGTAGTGACACTTGTCTCCAAGCTTGTGATCCTGTGATTAAAACTTTACACACAAACATATATATATATTTACATATTAGAAGCCAAAACATTTTGGTCATATCAAGCATTGGAAAGAATAATAGTAGAGGGCATGGTACTGGAAGGAGGGGCAGGGACTGACCAACATGAAGATGGGCACATGATATTAGTTACTCGTTAAATATGAAACTATACGAGGTGGGACAGCTGGCAAGAGGCCAAGTTTCTTTCAGGCAGACTATGATGAGAGCGATGATAATGATTTTTATATATATAAAGGTGCACAGACATGTATGCATTCACACCCATGTCAACACACCATAAATTATGATGCACAATCAAGTTGTTAAGCCTAAAATCTTTTCCAATCTCAAGGTCAACTTAGATAGCAGGTATATGATGTGTTTGGTGGTTAAGGCCTAACTCTGAGTTTTAAGCTAAACATCTTGAGGTCAACTTGCACACAAGGTCAACTTGTGTATCCTGCAATTTTTCTTTTTCTGCCTTTCTATCCCCTAATGGAGCATAGGCCCTCAACCAACTCAGGCCAAGTCGTTCTATCCTTCGCTATTACATGGAGCTCTCCCATCTTTCTAACTTTATTCTCCAGCTCTCTTCTCCATGTGTTTTTTGGCCTTCCTTTATTCCTATGCCCCTGTGGGTTCCAATGCAAAGACAATCAAGTAATGCTGTTCTCCGGTTTTCTCAAAGTGTGTCCTATCCAACGCCAGCATCTTTTCTTCACTTCTTGGTCCACTGGAGCTTGCTTAGTTCTCTCAAAAAACTCTACATTAGTTATTCTATCATACCATTCAGTTCCCTCTATTCTGTGCAGGCACCAGTTAATGAATGTCTGTAATTTATTAGTAATTGCCTTAGTTGTTTTCCATGTACCCTGCAATTTACAGTAGACAAAAATGTCACTAAACTGTCACTGACCTTCAGAAATGCCCAGGCAATTTTGTACCAACCTCCTTCCTCCTGGTTGCTGGCGGTGTTCATGCTGACAAAGTCTAACAGCTAGAGAACAATGGGGAAGAACAACAGCTATCATATCAAACCATCATACTCCCAGAAATAATAAAGTAAACTCATAATAAGAACAATAGCAGACAAAGAAAAGCTATGCTGTTCAGTCATACTGTAATAATATAGACTATCATACATCATCAGTGCAATTAAGTCAATCCTCTCAACTTTAACCTTTAACCTTTAGACCAAACTTCATACATAATAAACTGCTATGCTGGGTTAAAAAGCAAGGTGATGCTCTACCCCACTTCTTTTCAACTTGGCGGCACTGGGGAAAATTATAAGGAAATTGAAAACTACAAGAATACTCGGTTGGTTATGCAGACGACATAGATATTGTTGCAGAACATGAACTAGAGACTGTAAACACAATGACTCTCTTTAAAGAAGCAGCTTACAAAATGGGACTAGTTTTTAATTAATAAAATACATGATAATAACAAAACAGGGAAAGGATGTAAATTTGGCCATATATAAGTCGATAAATATGAAAATCAAAAGAATGGAGACAAATAAATATCTGGGAGCAAACTTCAACTGCTCCAACATGCTGCGAGAAGAAATACAATCTAAAATACCATCTCGAAACAAAGTGTACTATGCCCTTCAACATCTCCTGAAGTCAAATTCTCTATCTTGCAACCCCAAGATCAAAATATATCAAATGTTGATAATATCAGTCATTTTATTTGGCTGTGAAACTTGCAGCACAACTAAAAGAAATGAATCCTTATTATTTAAAAATTTTGAAAACAGTCTTATGATGCAAATGAGGGAAGGGGGGGGGGTGGTTGGAGAGTGGGAAGCAACAATGTTAATTCATAATGTTTAAATCACCACTGATCACTGGTAGCGTGGGAGCTAATAGACTGAAATGGTTGGGAAATATTGAGAAAATGTCAAATGACAGCGAGGTAACAACTGTATACACTAAGGGAGATGAATGGTCGTAGACCACGAGGCAGACCAAGAAGATGGAAAGATGATATCCAGACAGACCTACACTAACTGGAAAGCGAAGGCCAACCAGAGAGATCAATGCTGGTGGGTGATATCTGTAGCAGTGAATCTCAAGGGCTCGGAATGCAGAAGAAGAAGATCATACATTTTTTTGGTTAGTGAAAATTCACACTCATGAGAAGAAATAAACATGAAATCTTACTGGGATTGTTCCCCATGTCGGTTCCAGAGCACCAGTTCTGGAAGAAAGACCCACTGTTCACCTAACAAGGATGTCATGAAAATCAGAAGGGTAGAATATGAGATAGGCCAGCATGCAAAATCTCAAACCCCTGAAAATAAAGTTTGCTCATTCGTTCTTTCTTTTCTGGCAACAAGCATAGGTAAATTACAAGGCTTCCACTGTTTGCTTCTCTTATGTCCTCCACTAACCCAAGGTAATGACCAAGGATAATCCATCTTCAACCCCGAACAGTGGGTAACTACTTTTGTAACCATTACCGTTCTCTCGTCAGCACTGGTGGCTTAGGAGTAGCGAACATGCTTCACAATTCTGGGTGCCGGGTTTGATCCCAGCTGCATGCGAGTTGGTAGCAAATCACCTTGCGTAAGTTTTGACAGTGGTATTTTTCAGAAATCAATGGCAAACTACTGAATGTAAAATTGCCTAGTAGAATTACAAATAGCCAAACATGGTCGGGTTGGTTCTGAAATGCCTTGTTAGGTTTTCACAACTAACTTTAACAACTCTCTTTTATGTTGGCCCCGATTGCATACATACATGATGCCTTTTTTTAAAATTGTAAATGATATATGATAAAAAGCTACACACCTCAAATAACAAGAGTACTTTAGGATCAGGCTGCACAAAGTAGTTAAAGTTTTCATTGAAAACGAGTAAATCTTCCCATGCCGGAATTGTGGATCTGAAAGAAAAACAAAGGTGCTTCAGTAACTAAAAAAGTGAATCATGCAATATCATCATGTTCATGTTCAGTCGTGTCACAGACTGTCACAGCAGTTCTTCTTTCATTATCATTTTTTTATTTTTATTTTCCCTACAAATTAACCTTGTGTGAGTTCTGGGGACCTATTGTGGGGGAGACAAGAATAGTCCCACTGTCTACCAACAAGCATGTCATAAGAGTCAATAAGTGAAAACTTCCTTTGAAGTCAGAATGCATCTGCCTGAGAGACAAAGAAAAAACTGTCTGCATACAAATGATTGAGTTAGTAAAATGGATGTGCATGTAACACTCAGGTTCTGGAACACGACTGGAGTCTAGAAGTGGACAAACAAACTGAATTTTCCACTGGAGTTTACAGCCGGTAAATGCAAAGAAGAAATAGAATACATTTTATCTGTAATTACTGTCACATATAGGACCACAATTTCTTAGTCTCCTCAACACAGAAAGGTAGAAGAGAAGTGAAGAATGGCAGGCAAGGGGGGGGGGGAGAGAGAGAGAGAGAGAGAGAGAGAGAGAGAGAGAGAGAGAGAGAGAGAGAGAGAGAGAGAGAGAGAGAGAGAGAGAGAGAGAGAGAGAGAGAGAGAGAGAGAGAGAGAAAGAGAGAGAGAGAGAGTCTTTGAATCAAACATACCAAACAAAAATATGCCAACATAGACTGGCAAAGCTAAAGAATTTTGGAAAACATGATTAAATACTGTATATTTCAAAAAAGATTTAAACTTATGAATAATCTTTAACAGATGAAAGAAAGAAAGAAAGAAAGAAAGAAAGAAAGAAAGAAAGAAAGAAAGAAAGAAAGAAAGAAAGAAAGAAAGAAAGAAAGAAAGAAAGAAAGAAAGAAAGAAAGAAAGAAAGAAAGAAAGAAAGAAAGAAAGAAAGAAAGAAAGAAAGAAAGAAAGAAAGAAAAAAGTCTTAAAAAAACTATAAAACACTCCCCAAAAAATGCTGAAACAGATTGATAGAGCTGAAGAATTTTGGAAAACATGATTAAACGCTGCAAATCTGAAAGGAGATTTAAACTTACAAATAATCTTCAACAAATGGTAATATCTGTTTAAAATGCAATCAAATCTTTTTGAAGTCAATAGAACAAAAATGCAAGACAACATATGTTTAAATAAGTTACTGACTTTCTCTCCTTGAAGTCAAAAGGCTGTGTCATCATTGGCAAAATTGTCTTGACTGCCTCATTTGCTGTCTCAAAATAAGAAGTAACTGCCCTGTCACTGCAAACAAACATTCACAAGTTAGTTGTCAGCTAAGCTGCTTTTTTCTTCCCTCGGCAACAGTTCATACTTAAAACTCCTCTTCCTGCATAAAATATTCCCCAAATGGGTTCTAGAGCCCCACTGTGAGATGGGTAAAAATAACAGATTCAATGCCACCCTACTCATCATATTGTAAAAATGTACTAATTAGGGTGTTTCCTTCACAGTCGGAGTACATCTGCCTGACAGATGAGTAACCAACAGTATGCACACAAATAAGCTAGATATGTAAAATAGACATGCACACAAAACTCAGGTTCTAGAACAAGACTAAAGTCAAGAAGTGGACAAACAACCATTAACTTTTCACCAGAGTTTTGCCTGGAAATGTTGTATATGGAGGATGTGATCTGTTATCTCAGTTGCCAGTCCACATGGCCGATTTGCCATTTTAAATTGTGTGTACATGTGACTGCGAAGTTGACTGTGCCCTGTTCTAAGGCACAGAATAATAACTTGCTCTGATCTGTCCATACTATGGTAATCGCTTTAGTGGCTTTCTGACTGATCTGATTATTCTCTTCTTCTGTGGATAAGAAACAGTGATCATGTGTTTACTCGTCATCTTGGAAGATTTTTTAAATTAATCTGGGTTGCCAGCTTGTCCCAGCCTAAAAATAGGTATATGAAATGTTTTTCAGAGAAAAAAGTATCCAGCATGATACTGACTGCACCACCGCTGCGTGCTGATTGGCCCTATAATATGCACAATATGTGAATATAAATTTATGTAATCTTTCTGCTATTTCAATGTTTGAGAAGAATTCTGTCTGTATTGTATAGTTATGGATTCAAAATGTATAAGAGACACTGCTAATAAGGACAACTTTTCTAGGGAATGTTTAGTTGGTCATGCATTTCAGTATACTTGTTTCTGTATCGAGGCACTGTTGTAATTTGGAGGTGACAAGTTTGATTCCCAGCATGAACGCTATAGCTTTTGATTTATATGTTGGTTAGTGTGTCCTTCTACCTTTCTACTTCTTTCTATGAGTGCTTATCAATACATAGTTGTGTGTCTATTATATACCATAAGCTTAAAGGTGTTCAAAATGGTCTGAAATCATTTATTTAAACTGTGAAATGAATTAACACTGAAATGTTTGTAGTGAAATAAATTATGCTGGCAGAAACAAGCATGTCTTACAGATGTTGTTTCTGAATATACTGTCCAGTCTCCTCGTTGACAACATGCACCCTGACAACAGGGTGAAGGATGCGGAAGTCACTCTTCAGCTTATCTGTACGATGGATCATCAAAGCCAGCACCTCTCCGTGATCTTCGATCTCCTGTGGTTTTATTGCAGAAACAGGCTCTTCAGGCATCTCTGTGGTTTCATTCTCTAGTGACAGAAATATCATCATTATCTTTATTTGTATACGTTTAATACAACTGTGAATTCACTGTGCTACAATCATCATCATTAGGCAATATATGACAATTTGTCTACTTTAGACAAAATTAAGAATAAATTTAAGCTGTTGAATGATGAATCAAGAAGTGACATCACAGCACTCGGAAAACTTCTATATGTGCTCCATCCCTATCTTCAGCAGCAAGCAAACAGTTCCAATTCCGATGGCCCCAGTAACTGTCTGATTGTATATCCGTCTCACCTTTCCCTCAAGGTTGAGCATCGGCCAGATCCCCTGGTAACTTCTCACAGTGCCATTCTCCCCAGACTGTAATGATCTATATGTGTCTTCGAAGTGTTTACTCACTCAAGAAGGGCCCTCACAACATTTAGCTTGTCATCCATCAATTTACCACCAAGTGGTGCAGAAATGGCATCTATCTGCCTACTCATTTCCCAACACCGGCATGACCTGAAGAAAATATCCAAATGATGCTAACTACCCATGACCAATGAAGCAATGCTTGCCATTCTGCAGGAAGCATGCCTGTCTCCACCTTTCTATAGTTATACATCATTTCAATAACATTTGACTCAAAATATTCCGGAGATAAAGGTAGCCAGCATGGTGCTGACCAGCACATTTGACCTCTCTCATATGATTTGATTTGATTTGATTCAAGAACCGACATCACAGCACTCGGGGCATTCCCATAAGCGCTCCGTCCCCATCTTCAGCAGCCAGCGAAGAGTTCCGATACTAATGGTGCCAGTAGCTTTCTGATTAAACGTCCATCTTGCCTTTCCTCTGAGCCTTGAGCTTTTGCCAGAACCTCTCGTCACCCCCAACTGCATCAATCTCACCAGACTGTGGTAATCCATCTGCTCCTCCGCATTGTACACGCTCTCCCACAAGGCACTAACCACGTCTGCCCTATCATGTAGCAGTATTCCACCAAGTTGTGCAGAGCCAGCCAGTCTGTCCGCCGGTTCATTTCCCAACACGTCTCTCATATTTGTTCATTATATAATATTTCAAACTAAACCATTAAAACTGACTACAACTAAAAGAAGTAATATATTTAATTTTTTGTCGACTTCCCTCATGTTTGAACATTTGTTTAATGTATCATCGGCATTACCACTCAGGCTTCAGTAGAGGCAACTGAACAAAACACAAACTGTCATGACGAAATGCAATACAGTGAAGGAGGCAGATGCATGAACCTTATAATAAACATATTCAAACACTATAACTAATTAAACTAATTACATACCTGCTGCTTTCAAGGCTCTCTTCTTTTTCCTCTTGGGTGTTGCCATTTGTTCAGGTGTGGACGTGGTGTCCTGTAAATAAAGTTTGTTTAAAAATGTAATGAACGAATCAATCAATCAATCAATCAATCAATCAATCAAGAAGACATCACTGCACATGCTCGGTTCCACCCTCCTCATCAGTGGCCAATGAAAAGTTTCCATACCAATGGTGCTAATTGCAACATGATTGGAAAGTGTGCCTGTTTTTTCTCTTCATCATAATATAATCAATCAGCATGTCTTTTATATAATGCTGCTCTATACACGCTAGGCTCTTTACTAGACAAATCCACAGCCCCGTGTGCTTTTCTGGCCAACGCATCTGCAACGTCCTGTATCCACTTTCGTGGAGCTCGATCAGCCTCCACCTCATTTTCTGGAAACTGCACCTTCCATCATCGTTGTCTCCAGACCACCAAGATGCTTGACAAGTCCACAATAACTCAGTTTTCGGGAGAGGATGCTGTTTATGAGCCAATTCTCCTCAATGCTTAGATCATGAAGGATTTTGACATTTTTCTTCTTCTTGGTCCAGGGTCTTTTAAGAACCTTTCTGTAGCATTTCAGTTCAAAAGTTTTGATTTTCTTCTTCAAAGACTCAGTGAGAATCCACGACTCACATCCATAGGTTGCCAGGGAAAAGATGCATGATCTCAAAGTTTTCACTTAAACTTGCCTGCATGTACCATGCCATGGGTTTTCTGCTGGCAGAAAATCATTCAAAACCTCTGCTGTCTTGAAACTGACTCATTCTCTCCAGAATATGCATGATCTCTGTTCTGTTGCACTGTTTACTTGATCCCAGAGAATGCTCACCAGGTCCACATTATCATAAAGTAGCTCAGCGCCCAGAGCTGCAGCAGCTAATCTAGCAGCCTGCTCATTACCATGCCCTCATAAATGCTGTGAATGCATAATTTAAGTTTAACATCAAATATTTATATCTTTTATTTTTGGAAGGTGCCTAAAAAAACACAAATTGTGTATTTGAGTGCAGGAATGCACCCTAAGCAGAAATGTCTGACCCTTAAGGTATCAAGTGAATGTCTGCTACCAGACAGTGCACCACAGACAGCACTGTCAGGGACATAATGGAAACAGCTAAACGTTGACCACACAGTGATGGATGGATGGAATTTCAGAGGCCATAAATACCAGCATATACGTAGCATATACCAAGGCTCACACGTAATGCTTCTTCAAAACCAAATGCTGAAAGGCAGAACAGGACTAAAAAAGAAGAAGTAAATGTTTGCCCACAGAGACAGCAGTCTGGGTTCGATTCCTAGAATATTTCCTATCATTACGACTCTGAAGTTGACCTAGCCTAAAATAAATTAGCTACCAGACTAGGTCCAGATTTCAGACATTTTTTAGGGAATGTACGGGTAAGAAAGGAGCTGAGGAAAGGAACTGGCCACACAAACCTAGTTTATTGTGTTCCACCTAGCATAGTATGTAAACATTTCATTTCTGTCATGACTATTTTCCGTTTGTCTTCTGAAGACAGTGTCCATGTTTGACACTGATAGCACAGCATTGGTAAGAATGTTGTGTTAAACAGTGTTCTTTTGGTGTTCATATACACATACTGTATTGTTTGTGCCTTACCTTATTATTTCTTTCAGTCTGAGATTATTTTCCTGTACAATTAACTATCACATGAAACACTGGTTTAAAAATTATAACAAACGTTGTAAGTTGCAAAATATAAAACATATGTATACCTTAATAACTGGCTGTTCAATTTCATCCTCGACCTCATCAGTGCTGAAAACAGCCTTCTTCTTCTTCCTAGGTTTAGGTTTCAGAAGTCCAGTTTCTGTTTTGACATCATCTGTTTCTTGCTCATCTTTTTCTCGTTGAGGAGTTTTTGTTCTTTTTGGCTTGGCTTTGGTCGGTGTGGCTTTGTCTTCTCTCAACTCCACAAATTTTACTTCATTTGTTTCTTCATCTGTTCTAGGTGTTTTCTTCTTTTTAATTTTTATCTTAACTGGAGCATCCGTGTCTTTTTCCTTTTCTGTAATATTTTGTTCTTCGCCGCTTTCTACATTAGGTTTAGTTATTTTCTTCTTCTTGGATTTTGGTTTCACAAGACTGGTTTCATCTTTACTAATATCAAGGGTTCCTTCTTGCTGTGTTTCTTCGATGCTTTCATCTTTAAGTTTACTTTTCTTTTTCTTGTGCACTGTAACAGCCGGGACAGTTTCCTCTATTTTGACTTCCAGATTTCTATTAGCATCTTTTGCTGGGGACTTCACCTGTTATATTTCATTGCAGAAGAAAAAAGGCAAATGAAAAAAGTATACTAACAAGACTTATGAACAAGTGCATGCCTCAGACCCTCATAATTAAAAACAATACTTCAGGAATCTTAAATCATTATAAAACTTCATTTTATCTTCTCTTATAACTTTAATCTCCCAGTGAAGAAAAAGCCCTTATTCAACTCACACCATTTCTAGACTTGATACAACATGAAGGGTCTAAGCGGTGAACTGGTCATGCTGTTATCCTTGTTCTCTGAAACTCATGGACTCATTTCGCCAAATGTTTGGTTCAAGAGTCTTGTTTTTACAAAGGTCACTGGAGCTATGGGGTTTGTGCTGTGTGTGATGCTCTAGTAAAGTTGCTAGCTGAGACAGAGCCAAATGGTACAACTTGGTACAATAAGGTTAATCATCCTTACCTTTATTTAATACAAACTATGTGGCAGTTGGTACCAGGGCATTCTCATCAGGTGGCAAAACCATCTCCTTTGTTGATATTTAATGAAGTGTATGACTGATTTCAGTCCTAGTCTTCTTCTAATGTCTTCATTCTTGATTTTATCTCTTCTTGTCACACCGGCAGCTCTCCTAAGACTGTTGTTATGATCTTCTGCTCATTAGTTTAAGTAAGAGTCAATGTTCCTTTACCTTTAATTAATACAAAAACAGATGTCACGTTTCCAGCTGTGTATCCTTTACAGAACGCTGCAGAACCTAGCCTAGCATTTTTTTGACTGTTTGGTTTCACTAGGCAACTTTACATTTGGTAGTCTGCCATTTCTTTCTAAACTCTCGATACCAACGTTAAAATTATGCAAAGTGGTCTGCTGCCAAATTGCCTGGAGCTTGAATGCACCTGGTAACTCAGAATTATGAAGCACATTTCCAACGCCTAAGCCACAGACTGTAGACTTTTGCAGACTGAATCCATGCTGCACTAAAGAATTTTCCACTGCGCTACTATGTCCATACAAAAATAAATAGCAAATACAAGAACGTAAAAAAGAAAAACCTTTCGTGGTGTGGGTCGTGGTGTCTTTTCTGACTGCTCAGTAAAAGGCTGGCTTTGCATAATGTGCCTGTAACATCAATGCAAACAAAAGAGGAATAAAACATAATATCAGGCCTGTACACAATATAAGGCCTTTAATGTAAGACGGATATATAATCAAGTTGTTACTGGCTCCATCGGAATTGGAACTTCTTCTTCGTCTCCTTCTTTTTCTTCTTCTTTTGTTGGCTTGAAATAGTTGATCTATATTTGCAAAGTTGACTCTAGTATGAACTTCATACCATTGGAACTCTTTGCTGGCTGCTGAAGATGAAAACAGAGCACTTATAACAATGTTTTGAGTGTTGCAATGTCAGTAATTCACTCAACTCAGTTCAGCTCAACATAAA